ATTGGCTACCTCATAAAAAAGATAGTGTTCAAAGGCCGACCCATTTGTCATAAAAAATTACACGAAAAACCATTGCTTTAATTATATCCTATGTTGTTAATTACAGCAAAACACACGTAACTGGGACCCAGTTAAGTCTTTTGCGGTAAGCACCCGTTATTACTGCGTATAAGCATATTACTCGAAACATAGTACGTTTGTTTGTCCGCAAATAAATTAATTGGCGCCGTGCGCAACAATCAGTGACAATGTTTAAACAGTGAACTCATGATCAGTTTGTTTTGTGCGATTTTCGTAGCGAGTTAAGGTAAGAACAACATTTGATACCTATTTACTTTCTACAAAAATGTTCGGTTCTTTAAACTATAAACAAAGATTGGAGTCTCTTGCACTATGTAGAGGTATAATAGATTATAATAGATAAATGCCGTATCATTTGATATTTGACGTAATATTTGTTTTTTCAATTTTTGAAAAAGATGTATAAATTATTTTAGTCCTTTTATTTATATTTCTATACGTGATTAGTATATTTTTAGATGTTTGAATATAATGAATAAAAAAAAATAAAAAAGCCACCACAGTAGTCCACCAGTAACGGGAGAAATCCAGGCTACCTGTGGTTAGGGCTCCAGAGAGAGGAATCGCTGGACAATACGCGCCGTGTCCAGAAGTACTGCTTTCTGCATCAGGCCCTTGACCAAACCATCTAATGCTAACCTACTCAGGTTTTGATCGAGGCTGTTAGCAATGACGCCATTGGCAGATACGACTTTATTTTTAATAAATTTATTTTACGAAATTTATTTTTAATAAATTTAATTTCAGATCAGTTAACATTGTTTCCCGTGTTAACTACAGTTTTGCTAAAAATACTCAATCTCTTCATTCCATTTCTTCTTACGTTCTTCTTTAGTTATTGATTGGCATAAAATACACGAAATATTGTGGTCAGTTCAACATTTATTTTCTATGTTATTTATAGTATCTTGGACCGGATCGTCCAACAATTGGAGAGGAGGTGAGTACATTAAATACAAAGAAGTTATTCATTTTTAATACAAAATAACTTTTTCTTGACTCCTCGAGGACAAAACCCAACTTTTTTTTAATAGTAAAATTTGAGTAATGGTTACATAAATGAATGTGGCACTCATTGGTTTTAACATTTACATCACTTAATATCTTATAATATTTCGGAGAGGTAGGATTATGTTCTGGTTGTTCAGACATAATTTGGGCGAATATGAATACCGTGTAAATAAGAATAGTGTTTATAATTAATCACTGAGTTTATTGTAATCACAAGGTACAGTAACTCTAAGTGAAACGTAGAGCAGTTCCGTGACAACGTCTTCAATCGGTGGCGACTCGAACTAAAGTGAACTCCGCTCTCTCGACTCCGAACTCTCAACGCTGACGTCGTAGCGTCAGCGTTTTTTTTAAGAAAAAAAAGACTAAACTAAAAAAAGGCCGGGCAAGGGGTCTCGGGTTCGATTCCCGGATCGGGCAAAGTATTATAGGGTGTTAAAAAAATCTCAGTAGTAGCACGGAGTCCGGAATTGTGCCCCGTATATGGCAATAGCTCACCCACTAATTACACAGGACTCACATAAATCGTGAAAAGTGAGTGGTACATTGTACAGTGGCATAATGTGTACCTCTGCCTACCCTACCCATTCGGGGATAAAAGACGTGATGCTATGTACCTATGTATATAAAAAAGCGCTAGTAACTAGTTTAAACTGTCATACACCAAGCGGTCACCGGTGACCGCAACCTATTGTTCTATAATTGTGTCTA